GAGACTAGAAGGGAGAAGTAAGGACTAGTTGTTGAATTGTTTTGAAAGCTCGATCCATTGTGTTAAGAGCAAAAGTGGAGACTTTTGAACTCTTAAGAATCGAGTTTCTTAAAGTCTTTAGAAGTGAATTCATTGTTTCAAACGCCTATCTTTCAAATTTTGGGATAATCACCTCAATTCAAGAAGAATAGCCACATATACACATATTTCCTACCTCGAACCAAATAGCCTAACAATTGAAAGCCAAAAAGCCCCAATGATCCCAATAGCTTAATGTTCGATATTAGTAGAGTAGAATATTTTGGTGAGTATTTGGAGTCAAACATATACATGTAAGCATAACTTTTTTTTTATCTTAAATTTACAAATATTGGATGCTTGAAGCAATTGCATGATTTGTGGTTTTTGGCTATTGTAAGTGACTAAGTGCTTTTGAATTTTGAGCTTGCGAATGCCTAAGAATTTTCATTATAATTACAAATTCTGAAAACGTGAAGTTGGTCATTAATCTATGTGATGAGATGCCGTAGTTGAGTTTTTTGCTTACGATTAGACTTTGCTTGAGGACAAGTAAAAGTTCAAGTTTGGGGGTGTGTTGAGTGTAGATACTACACTCAATACGTTTACTTTACGTGGATATTTTGTTTAGATTTAATTATATTTGTGCTTTAATTGATTGATTTTGTGTTTTATAGGTGAAAAACGAGAAGTAGGTGTCCATGAAGGAAAAAAGATCAAAAAGAAAGGAAAAAAGTTGCAAATAAGGAAACAAATCAAATTGAAAAAAGGAATCCCGCCACAGCTTTGACAGTGTTCACCATTTCGAGCATATCTCTCTCATACGAACTCCGAATTAGGTGATTTTGACGGCATTGGAAAGATAATTTCAAGGGCTACAATTCTTATGCACACAATATTCCAAAATTCGGACTCTAACATAGCACAAATCGACGAATAAATCTTGATGGGGGAAAGGGTTTTATCTATCCTACACCCGGTGAAGGTTACACCGGGTGATTTTTTACCGTTGATCTACACATACCAATGTGGGTGTGTGTGTGTGTTTGTGTGTATATGAATGGTAAAGATCTACCCGGTGTATTTCACCCGGTGTAGGATCTCAAAAGCCGGGGGAAAGTGGCGGAAATTGATTCCTATTAGGTTTCCACTACTTCCTTATCAAGAAAAACCTATAAAAGCAACAAGTCTCTACACCATAAGCACGGAATTTTACACCACAAAACGGGAAGAACGAAGATCAACGAAGACTCAAGCATAATTTTTCTTATTTCTTTTATTTTTATTTTGTTTATCATAAGAATTACGAGTAGCTAAGCTTTTAATCTAGGATTTTGTTGGAACCCTATGTGGGGATGGTGAACCCGTTTTCTTGAGATTATGCAATTATGATTTTATGATTATTTCTTCTACTTGTTATGATTGTTAGTGCATGAATCTGATCAATTTATGTGCTTTATCTGTGATTATTGGGATTGACTCGACAGAGCTATTTCGATAATTAGACGGTAAGTAAAAGAATCTTCGAGTAGTTTTCACCGGATGAGTGTGTCAATTGCATGTGGTGTCGTAGACATACAGATATCACCTTAGGTAGCCATTTACGAGACTTGTTATTTAATGTTTTATTCATAATTTGTTTGCATAGACATATAGTGAGCCGTTTATGAATAATAGACTCATAATACACGCGACAACGGGTTATGAGTAAATTAGTGTCTCGGGTTAATAATCATGAATCATGTATTTCATAATTGAGGGGTTTTGGGTGAGCAATTCTTGCATAGGGGGAAGATGAAATCCTAGGTCCGTTTTTACTTGATATTTTCTCGTGTTTATTTGCTTTCATAATTAGTTTAATTATTTAGTTGATTAAATTTCACAACTGTTAAGTGTATATTTTTACACTATATCGTATCTTTTTATTTGAGCTTTTGGTGTGTTTTAACGATAATTGGTGCTTAAAAAGTTGATTTATTGTATTTTAGGTATAAATTGAAGAATTGGAAAAGTATGGGGTCAAAACTGCAATTTTGGCAAAAATATGGGTCAAAAGTGAAAATATCAAAATTCTGAAGATTTAAAGCTGAGGCCACCGTCCCAGTTTTAGTTCAAATTGTGAGACCCCCGTCCGAGACTCCGAAGTTGCGCAGTAAAGGAATTTTAATTGCACAAGGAAACTGCCTTCTTCCCCAAGTTCTTCACCCTATATAAGACCAAGCCAAGCACACAATTAGGGATCTTTTTACGCAATTTCAAGAGCAACAAAGCAATAACGAAGACGAAGAATTCGAAGACTCCAAGCAAAGATTTATCGTCTATGATTTATTTTATTTGCATTTTTGCTTTAATCATGCGTAGCTAAATTACTTGTTTCTAGGATTTTATTTGGAACCCTATGTGGGATTTATGAACTCAATTCTATGATTTTATGCAAGTTTTAATTCCGGATTATTTCTTCTTCTTGTTTTATTAAGTTCATGAAACTGGCCACTTTATGCGTTTTTATGTTATTGTTAATCGCATGAATCGGAAGATCGGGTTAATAATTAGAACTGTGGTAGAAGAGCCTTTGTGGTATTAACATAGGAATATAGTTAATCTCTTAGGTAGCCATTATTGAGATTTGTGCTTAATGTTGTGTTCTAGAATTAATTGCATAGGAATATAGTAATTGAATCTAGAGGATTATAATCGTAATACACGCGGAAGCGAGTATATGATTATTTTAGCATCTCAGGTTAATAATCCGGGTTAATTGCTTGCATAATTGAAGGAATTGGGGAAGTAATAATCACATAGGGGGAAGAATAAAATCCCAGGCTTGCTTATCTTGATTAAATCTTCGTTTTAAATTGCTTTCTTGTTTTTGCTTGCCTTTTAATTTATTTTAATTTAGTTAGTTTTCTCTAAAGTCGACTGTGTAGGGTGGGCTTGATAATAATTGGTAGAATTTAGCGTCTAGGTTTAGATAATTAAATATTCCCTGTGGGTTCGATATCCGGACTTAATTGTCCACTATATTACTTGTACGATACGTGCACTTGCGTGTAGGTTTTCGGCCAACAAGTTTTTGGCGCCGTTGCCGGGGAATTATTTAATTATTTATTTTATTCTAGCTCTAGATTTGAACAATTTTCACGATTCACCCATTTAATTTTTGTTTTATTTTATTTTTTGTTTTAGGTATTGTGTATGCGTAGGAGACTCGATCTTGCTAGAGAACCGTTTGATCCCGAAATCGAACGTACCTTTCGAGCCGCTAGGAGACTTCAACGCGAAAACAATATAATGGAGGACGAAGAACGCAGGGCCGCGGTAATTTACTCGAGGCCAACGGAAACCAACTCCAAGACCCACCCCCTCAACTTCCAGCACAGCCAGCAGTTCGTCCACGAGCACTTCAAGATTACATAATCCCAACTCTAGACGGATTCCGCCCGAGCATCCAATATCCACCCATTGAGGCGCACAATTTTGAGATCAAGCAAGGCCTCTTGACGATGCTCCAAAATAACGGGTTATTTAGTGGATTGGCAGGTGAAGATCCCCATCTTCACATTGTCAATTTTCTCGATACCTGTAACTCTCATCGTCAAAATGGCGTTTCCCAAGAGGCGCTTCAATTAATTCTCTTCAAGCACTCCCTACAAGGAAGAGCTCACCAGTGGTTGATGTCCCAAGCCCCCCACTCTATCTCGTCGTGGCCTCAACTCCTCAACCTTTTCATGAAAGTTTATAGCTCACCCGAGAAGGACGAGAGAATCCGACAAGAAATTCATAATTTTGTCCAAGAGCAAGGCGAACAATCATATGAGGCATGGGAGAGATTAAAAACTCTTTTGCGGCAGTGTCCAACACATGGAGTCGAACAATGGCGGCAAATCCACATCTTTTACCAAGGGATTAACGAGAATGCACGAACGGTCTTAGATGCATCAACCGGGGGGAATTTTATGAGTCAATCGATACCGGATGCATTTATCATGTTAGATCAAATTGCTCAAAATCGGTTTGCCAAGTCAAGCGAGAGGACGGTTAGTGGAGCCAAGAAAGTTCCCGGAGTGTTGGAGTTAGATGCAATTACGGCTCTTCAAGCTCAAGTGACCCAAATTGCTCAACAAAATCAACTCCTTCTACAGCACATCAAAGCAAGTCCACCACAACAAGTTCATGAGAAGATTTGAAAAAGAAAATGAAAACATGAGCAAAAAAAATATAGGATTTTTAAGAAATAAGAAGGGACCAAATGGAAGAAAAGTAAAGAAATGAGTAGTGAGCGTTTTTAAGTTCCTGAGCAATTGGAGAAAGACAAATCTGCCCGTTTTCAAATCCCTTTGCCAAACACATTTCCAGCCAAAAAGTATCAGGGGTGCAAAGTGTCAAGAAATTTGTAATTGAACGATGGAAAGTACTATTTTTCCTAATTAAGGACGCAAAGTGCTAAACCTATGTAATTCACGGATGCACAGTGCAAATTATCCTATATCCTTGTGATTCATTTCAATTATGTAAGTTGGTAAGAAGTTGGTAATAAATTTATCCGTATTTACTAAGAATAAATGAACATCGACGCACTTATCACATTAAAAAAAGGAAATAGCCGAAAATTTGTTACCACTTACCATCGTACAAATTCACAAGTATATATGAAAAGGATGCGTATTAAACCCTCTTTCCATGTGTTTTATGAACTATTCCCTCGGTTCCGAATTAACCGTCCTTTTTAACTTTGGACAAGTATTAATAATTTCAATAAATGTTCTTGAATAAAAAACATAAGAAATACTAAAATAACTTTAATGATTTAATAATATGATAATAGGTAATACTTAGAATTGAATTACTAAAGTTAAAACAGAAAAAAAAAATTAATACAGTATTAATGATCTAAAGTGATAGACAATTTTGAACAAAATATTTTCAAAAATCGACATTTATTATAAAACATTGAACTATTAATAATCTAAAGTGACAGACAATTTTTAACAAAATATTTTTAAATAACGACATTTATTATGAAACATTGGAAACAGATGGCTTTTGAGATCCTACACCGAGTGAAATACATCGGGTAGATCTTTATCATTCATATACACACAAAAGTATGTGTAGATCAACGGTGTAAAATCACCCGGTGTAACCTTCACCGGGTGTAGGATAGATAAAACCTGGAACAGATAAATAATTACGAAACAAGGTACATAATAAATAATTCAGAGTGCTGAAGTAATGAAGACTGAGTTGTTGTCATCTTCTCTACTCACCATCATCTCAAGCTCCTTCACGAACACTTCCATGGCGTCCGCCGCCAAGAATACCGGAACCACTATTCCGTTCTCCCCCTTCTTATTTTTAAATGGTATGTAAAAACTCAAAACCCCAGGGATGGCTCCTACGCCGCCCTTCGCCGGACCTCCGTACACCGCCTTCCCCAACCCAAAGTCCACATCTCCGATTCCGGCGCGGGTCAAGTCGGAAACCACGAAACTCCGAACCACCGCGAAGTGGGGCCGCCCCCTGATCACCATCATATCCGCCAATGATCTCATGTACTCCTCCGTCACTTCGGACTTCGCCTTCCTTATGAGCTCCAGCGCGTACTCGAACGGGTTGGTTGAGAGATCTCCGGCGGTGGCGATGGCGACGGGGAGCGCGAAGGCGTTGCCGTAGTAGCCCTTCGGCAGCAGCCGGTTGAACCGGCTCCGGTAGTTGACGATGCAGAGCATCCGGACCTCCTCGTTGGGCTCCGGGGAGATGGCGATCGTGCGGCACCGCCAGAGGCAGGCGGTGAGGAGCTCGAAGGTTGAGCAGCGGCGGAGGTGCGGCGGGAGGCGGCCGCGGAGGGCGGAGATCTCCGCGGCGCCGAAGAAGAAGGAGCGGTGGACCATGTCGTCGAGTGGGATGATGGTTCCTTTGGTGTCCGGCACCTCGTCGTACTCGCGGTGCGTGCATGTCACGCGCGGCGGGGCGCGTGCGTTCAGGAGGTGCCTCTCCCAGACTGGTGGGGTCGACGGGGATTTGGCGCCGCGGGCGATTTCGCCGACGGCGGTCATGAACTGGAGGAGGCCGAAGGCGTCGCTCATTGTGTGGTTGAGGCGGACGGCGAAGATGAACCCGCCGCATCTCAAGCGCGTGGCCTGCAGACGACTTGGTCTTTAATTGTTGAAACATAAAAAACGGTTTTGAATTTTGATCATTGGATATCTTATTTTATTTTTTTAATCTAGTTATTATATTAATATAGTGCTTATATAATTTTAATATTAGCATAAGTATAACAATTGTATCAATATATTCCTAAAAAATAATCTTACCTTATAATTTTTTAATTAGTTCAATAATCCGCCGGTTCCGGGCCTATCCGGGCCGGTTCCGGGTCGGCCCGGAAATTTTGAATTTTTTTTTTTTTTTTGAAATATTTGATGAATAAGTAAATTAAAAAAAAAATACTTTTAAATAGATAAAGGAAAAGGAAATAAATGAAAAGTCAATTTAGAAGCACAAGTTTGAAATATTTGATGAATAAGTAAATAGGAAAAATTAGGGTGTGAGGGTATTTATAGGAAAAATTGGGGGGGTTGGAGGCAAAAAAAATTCCAAAAAAAACAAAATTGGGGTGTGAGGGTATTTATAGGAAAAATTGTGGGGGGGTGGAGGGGGGGGAATTCAAAAAAATTCAAAAAAAATATAAATAACGGCCGGTTCACCCGGGCCGCTTCGGGCCGGTTCACTAGCCGTTATTTGCTTTTTTTTTTGAATTTTTTTGAATTTTTTTTTTAAAATCCAGGTGAACCGCCAGGCCGGCCCGGCGGTTCACGGTTCACCAAATCTAAGAACCGGACCCGTCCCGGGTAGGACGGGCCGGTTCACGGTTCCGGGCTGGTTCACATGGTCAACGGGCCGGTTCGGGCCGGTTCCGGGCCCAAAACCGGCCCGTGGCCGTGTCTAAATGTAGATATCAATTTAATTTGCTCAAGTTATTATATTGCTTACTATAATGATTTAATTATTAAATCGATATATATATATATATTAACATAATAATTGTCCTATTTTGTCACTTCTCAAAAATATGCCAGCATAGTTATATAGCTTTCAATTTCATTTTCACCATGCAAATTGCAAATACTCCAAGATAAACCATAATTATATTATTAAATAAATAATTAATTGAACCAAAAATAAAATAATTATACACTAATTAATTAATTATATGTACCTGAATAAGCAATAGAGGGGTGTTAACAATTCCAGAAGAACCAGGTACATCATAAAGCAGCTCCTCAAGGCAGGGGAACGGCGGCTGAAGGTCATCGCCGAACTGCTGCAGCGACACGTCAGCATCCGCCTCGATGAACATAACCCCCTCGCCGGTGCACTCCACCACCAGCTTCCGGTCGGCAACTTCCCTCAGCCGACCGGCGAACGGGTAGTAGAAAACCAAGGCCTCGGATATGGCGGCACGGATGACATGGACGGGGTCCGCTTGGATGAAGGGAATATTCCGGTAGAATTGTATCACCGGAATTTGGAAACGGAGCCCCTCTTGATCGTCTATGTCGGAGAGTGATTTGAATTCGTGTGGCGTCGGCTTCGCCGGAGGGATTAGCTCCGGGTTTTGCCTCGTTACTTTGAATGTTAGAGCCGCCATTTTTTTTTGGATGAAATTGAAGTGTATTTAATTTGTAGAACTATATGGAGGATTGGTAGTTATATTTGTGTAGTGTGTGGTTTTTTGGTATGAGAAATTGATGGTATTTATAGAGGTGATGATAGGAAAATATGGACTAGATAAATTATTAATTATTAATAATAATAATAATAATTATTATTATTATTTTTGTTTTCTACCTAATTCTTGTTCGGGCAAAAAAAGTAGTCATTTGTCAAGAAATCACTAGTGATATTCATGTTTAAAATGTGTTAATTCTGAACGGATTTGCCTATAAATTCAATAAATTTGCATATACATTCAACGAATACTTTTTATGGATTTTAATTGGCGGATTTTGAAAATTTCTAATTTTATTGTCGCCTAAAATATATAAGATATAATAATACTGGGTTTATGAATTAGTGTAATTTTTCGAAAAATAGATTTTTTTGAAATGAAAATCGGATCGAAAATAAGAATTTTATATGTATTTCAATTTTAAAAGACATAGGAACAATCGAATGAAAAGTTGTTCCAAAATTGCACAATCTTCAATCGAAATAGGCGGAAATTATCTTTCTTTTATTCCAATATCTACCCCTGGATTTATGTGTTAGAAGAAAAAAGAAATATTTTACAAAAATAAATAAAATAATGGTAAAAAAAACTCCTGCTGCTTCTGATAAGATGTTTTAGGAGTTGATAAGTTCTTAGATCTTATTTTAAAGATTAAATTTTAAAGTATTTGAATATAAAGTTTATAACTTAGTAGTGTGAAATATTATACTTTTAATGTTTTATAGTAAATGAGTAAATAAAGCTTATATAAAATCTTTTAAACATCTTATATGCTCCTCAATTTTTTTAAAGAAGATGTTTGATTTTTTTTTTTTACCAAACATCTTTTAATAGCTTATAAGCTATTTAACATCTTATAAGATATTTTATAAACTTAACAAACATGCTCTAACTCTTTTAAGTCTTTAACTACCCTAGTTAAGGAATTCAAAATGACCAAGACCATACCAATTAAAAGGGCATCAACAACACAATTTTTTATTCAATATAAACTCTTGTTTAAATGATAACATAACAAAGAAAAGGGATATTAAATTGTAAGATAGTCTTAACTGAATAATAATAATAATAATAATAATAATAATAATAATAATAATAATAATAATAATAATAATAATAATAATAATAATAATAATAATAATTGTTAGAATCCTTTGGATTCTGACTTTGCAAGGAAACGTGTAAAGGGATTGTAGCACAAGTCTAGATATGCCGTGATATAAGAAAGGGAGTTTCCTTGTGTTTTAATTCCTTTTAATTTGTCATTAATTGATTTATATTAGGAATTATCTTTATACAAAGAGTTTTCTTATTTTACAACTTATTCTCCTACGTGAATAAGAATCCCTAACCTAATGGATTTTATTTCCTTGTGTTTTAATAGTTAAGGGAATTAGTTTTTAGATAAGGAATGAATAGTTGTATTTTCCTATACAACTCTTTTTAACGTGAATAAGAGATCTAATTAGATTTGTATTTTCTTGTGCAGGAAGAATTATGAACGTATAAAGAGGGCTTCAAGCATCGTTATCTGCATGCGTTTGATTGGAGAGAAAAAATATATTTTTCTGCTCTTAATTTCGCTGTTCCCGGAACGTCTTTGATCGAGAGAAATTTTTCACAGAAAATATTTTTCCTCTCGTTTTTATTGTTCCATCGTGATACGTGATTTTCATAGAAAATATACCGGCTTCAAGGCTTTGTGGTGAAGACACCAAGATTCAAGGAGTATCACAAGTTTGCTTCTTCTATACAAAAAGAAGATCGGTTCTTCGGGAGAGGGGCTTAAACAGATCTCGGGAGGAGATCGATCCGCCGACTGAGGGATTCAGCGTTGAAGGGAGTTCAACCGTGCGGAGCAAGGGACATGCTGCAAATTGAAGATTTATAATTCAGCGTAGTATACAAGAACGGCGTCAACAAAGAGGGAGTCTTTGTATTTTGATTAAGTCCTATTATTGTATTCGTAAAACTAAAAATTAGTAAATTTTATTTGCAGGTCCCCGTGGATGTAGGGTACAATTGTATCCGAACCACATTAAAATTTGTGTCTCGTTTATTTCTGTTTTTACAAACTGTTTCACGAACTGTTGCAACACTTCACGCAACAGTAACGAAAAACTGAATCTGACACAAATAATTTAATATCTGCACGAAATAAATTCTAATAATTGGCATCAAGAGCCTGTCACTAGATACACTTAGTGAGATTTTGGGATTTAATTATTTTTTTATTTTTTTGTGCAGACATGAATAATCATCGTGAAGGCGCATTCCTACCACCTCTCTTGGGTGAATTGAACTACTCTGATTGGAAAATAAGGATGAAGATGTTCATCAAATCTATCGATGAATGGGCCTGGCGCGCGATTCTAATTGGTTGGACACCTCCTACCTCAATGAATGAGTCACACGAGATCATTCAAACCCCAAAAGAGAAGTGGAGTGATGAAGAAGTACGAATCGCAGATTATAATTCCAAGGCAACCAATGCTATCTTGAGTTGTATCGATGAAGACCAATTCAAATTGATATCAATGTGCAAATCAGCAAAGGAGGCATGGGATGTTCTACAAGAGGCCTACGAAGGAACTACTCAGATAAACGAGTGCAAACAGACTGTCGCTGAAACTGTTGCAACAGTTGAACAGACTGTTAAGACAGAACTTAGGTATGATAAGTTACATTCAATATCCGATAAAATATTAACTCCGTTAAATCTTGCAGGTGATGATTGGGATTCAGAAAACAACAGCGATGATGACGTGTCATCCTTGGAAGAATTAAAGGAGTGCTATGAAAGGATGTACGAAAAATTTCTTCAGGTATGCGAGTCGAATAAATTCTTAGAAAAAGAGAAGCTTGTCCTAATTGAGGAAAACAAAGTATTGAAGGTAAGAATTTCTACTCTTGAACAAAATGTTATTTCTGCTAGTAGAGAAACAGATAGTTTGAAGGCCAAATTTCCTAAAACCCAAGATTCTATTTCAAAATTAAATACAGGTAGGGTAAATTTGAATGAAATTTTGAGAACAAATCAGCCGAACTATGGTCATCTAGGTGTAAGGGGTAATAAACTATCTGATGATGCTTTGAAACAGAAAGAAGATCCAATAGGAAAAATCAATTTTGTTAAACAATGCAGTGTTTCACAGACTGTTGCGACAGTTGCGCCAAAACAGTCATTTCAAAGAAAACGTTTTGTGCCTATTTGTCATTTTTGTCATGTTGCTGGTCATATACGACCCAGGTGTTTTAAGTACTTGAAAATGGTTAAAAGAATAATGGCCCGCTCACCACTTTCCGCCAAAATTGATCACACTTTTGTGTCGTCTCAAAAACCCAAGATAAAGGTTGATTTAGTGAATAAAACTCAACAAAAAATCTGGGTAAAGAAGTCTGATCTTAATTGTTTATCTGCCATTACTTCTTTAAACTCATGTGATGATAGTACTAACTGTTCCAACAGTTCTGGTGACAAAACTAGTTTGGGGAATAAAAAACTTGGTAATCTGAATTGTGATAATTTGTATGTGAAAAATAAGTTTATGAATCCAATTCAGCATTCGAGAACTAAGCTTACTGATATTTGTCATCTTTTCATAAGGGGCTTGGTCGAAAAGGGGGTTGTCTCAATTGATTATGCTGCAACGGAGAATGAATTAACTGATGCTTTTGCAAAAACCCTTGATGCACATAAATTTGATTCCTTGCGAAAATCGCTGGGAATTTATGTTGTTTAATCTGATGCAGTTGCATGAACTGTTGCAACTGTCTGTGTGTCCAGACTTGCAACTTTTAGAGGTAGGACACTTCATATGTTTTTGCATCTCATATAGGACCTGCATTAAGCATACTGCATATGATTGAGACATATGTGAATTTGATACTTCGTGTATTTCTAAATTTTGTGGGGTAGAACTTCACCAATTCCCAAAATGATTACTTAAAAGGCTCCAACTTATTTATTTCTCTGAATAGTCTTGTCATGGTTGGATGTTTTTATAGGGAAAAACTGCATCTTTTAATGAGTGAAAGCTACTCTTGAACTACTGTTACTAATATATATATCTACAACCATTTGGTCAGTGAATAGTTCGAAGCCTTTTTGAGTCGAGCCAGTAAATCACGTGGCCGAAAGCTCGCTACAAGGCTCAATTAGAAAGCCCAGGGGACTACACATTGCACGGCCAATATAAATTATATATATGGTCAGTGAATAGTTCGAAGCCTAGTTGAGTCGAGCCAGTAAACCACTTGACCGAACACTTACTACAAAGCTCAATTAGAAAGCCCAGGGGACTACACATTGCACGACCACCATAATCTCGTTCCTTTTAATTGCTCTGTTTTTCATGGGAAAAAGCTACCATTAGACGTGTGTGTACGCTACCTAATAAGAGCATCTTTGTGTTTGACTTGGGATTATTAAGTTTGTTGGTTGCATTGGCAGTCGGATTTTTGGGGATTGCGCTTATCGTGAATGTGAAGATAAATCCCATATGTTTTGTTTGTCCATGCAGTATCCTATTCACATATGTCTCTTCACTCATGTTTATTTTTCATGTTTACTTTTTGTACTGCATTAGGCATTATTTAAAAAAAAAAAAAAAAAAAAAAAAAAAAAAAAAAGAGAGAGAGACGGGATTTTTGTTTATGTGCCGGTTAAATTTTTAGTCACGCAGCGTGGATTTACCACTCTATTGGGC